GAGAGAGAGAGAGAGAGAGAGAGAGAGAGAGAGAGCGTCCTCACCTTCATTCAATTAGTGTAAAATAAAATCTAAATGATTTGCTGTTTTCTTCTGTATCTAAACAGCTGCAGGCCCGTTCACTGTCTTCGCCCCAAAAGACTCGGCTTTTGAGGATATAACCTCCACTCTCCAGACACTCATTAACGACAGAGATGCCCTTTCCGGTCAGTAACAGACCTGGTCGCCTCTAAACATTTGCTCCCACATCAACACATTTCAGGTCTTGTAGATGTGGACCTTTTTTGCCCAGCAAATTTATGACCAATCAGCGCAGAGCAGGATGCACCACCCCAGCAGATTACGAGAATATCGGAAAGAGTAGACCACCGCACATGATCGAACCCGCGTCGAGTGTGTGCGACTGCGAAGTTTAGCTATCACACTACAAGCGGCTGTGATTACAATGGTTCTGATGATCATCATCATCATCATTGTTATTATTATCATTTGGCGTACTTTAAATATGAAAAGACTATACAAACAAGTACTCTGACAGAACGTATGTATCCTTGAAGCCTAATCGCTCTCAGTACTGTTGCTGAGATTTGCCTTAAAACAGGGTCTTGCACGTATAGTTGAAACTGGTATTTTTCAGAGCGACCTGTTGTAAGACTGCTTTTTTGTTTAGTAAGAGTTTAACAACACTTGCGACAGAATAAGGTCATATATAAGTCCCGAAGATTAGAGGTGTCATAAATGCAAGAGAATGACAAACATAAAAAGCAGAAGTAGGAGAGAAAAGGGCGATAGATGGTTGATAAGAAAGAAGGTGCAAACTACACCAGAGCACCCGCCAACCACTGACAAGACTGCTTAGCTATTGTACGCTACAATCTAAATGAAGACTTGGTATCCCTGTTTGCCAGGGGTTAAACATGCATACACACCTGGATAAGTTATTCAACCTTTTCGTGGTGTTAAGATCAATTGAAGAACGAACTGAAGATTTCAGCTATATTTCTTCTTACGTATTGAGGACGAATTGAAGACCAGCATAAGTCCAAAACTGTGACTTTCGACTGCAAAAGTAATAAACACTTTAGCGAACGTTGTTCGATTTGGTTTACTAAATTATAGTCTTTGTTTGAACTGGGTGGCTCGAAACATTTTTGTATGGTGAAACAGAACGCAACGTTTAGAAGAAGAGAGTCGTCTTGGGACTCCATTTACAATCTATATTCTAGGGAATTACTACATAGATTTACTTTGCTTGCTTCCTTCTTTGACCCCTTGTGGAGCATAGCACGCCATCTTTGGTCATTCTCTTCTCATGCAGCTGTTTCAAGGTTAAATCTTGTTTACTCCTATATTAAAGTTAAGGCTTCTCTAGTAGTCCCAGGTTAAAGCTTGTCTCTAATGTTATAGTTAAAACGTGTTTAGTAGTGTCAGGTTAATTAGTCTTTTTTACTGGTAATGATTAATGTTGAACCTGGTCTCCTGAATGGTCTAAATTGTGCCCATAGGGAGCTTAAAACAACTACGCTAAAAATAAAGATTGAATGACCTCAAGGTATTTTTTTTTTAATTTCGAACAGTTTCATTTATATGTAACCAAATTGAAACCATGTGCATGCCCTTTAATGACCAAAATGTAATTCCCCCCCCCCCCCCCACACACACACACTGGCGTTTGACCAGAGGTGCTCAAGTATCACGTAATTAGTGACACCTTCTGGTCAGTTGGGTTGACCGACGGAATGGTGCTGCAGACCATCAACGGCGCAAACCTGACCGTGCACATCGACACTAACGGTGAGCTGTTTCCATTTTTGTTCCTCGTCTGTTTCTTTGAACACCGTAGGCCATCACCATCACCCCTCACCAGCAACATAACCACCACCATCATCCCTCACCACCAACATAACCGCCACCACCACTCCTCACCACCAACATAACTGCCACTATCACCATCACCCCTCATTCCTCACCACCAACATAACCGCCACCATCACCCCTCACCACCAACATAACCGCCACCATCACCCCTCACCACCAACATAACCGCCACCATCACCCCTCGCCACCAACATAACCGACACGATAAAAACCCAACATCAACAACTACAAAAATAATAGTAACAACAATATGAACAACTGTAGCAACAACAGGAGCACAACAATAACAGCAATATCAACAACAATAACAACAACAATGACAACAACAACAACAATGACAACCACAACAATGACAACAATAACAATGACAACATAATTACAACAAAAGATAACCCCAATAATAAAGAAAAAAAATAATTGCTTCCACAGATTTAAAGCATCTACACCAGGAAACATTTATCAAAAAGTGGGTTTTGTATTCCAGCTATACATTTGAACAACACAATAATAACAACAACAACAAAACTCAATAATACGGAACATCAATCACTTTGTGCTAGGATGAAAAACATACTGAGCACCCGGTTGTAAGATACCAGGAATTTAAAAAATAAGAAAAAAAAACGATCACAACAAAACCACTTACACAGTCAAGGAAGCACACAGCGAACCCGAGCTTGTTCTTATGCATGTAAAATAATGTTTACATTCTTGGCTTTTGAAACACGTACATAGCGAATTTTTTACACAGTAAAAAGATGTCCGTGTCTCTATAAATAAATTATTGACGGTCAAGGTGAAAAGATTTCCGAGTCACGTCGATTTCGCTATGTGCATGCAAGACTGTATACCCCCCCCCCCCTTCACACGCGCGTGCACACACACACACACACACACACACACACACACACACACACACACACACACACACACACACACACACACACACACACACACACACCTTTCACTTTCTTTTCACTCCCCCCTCCCCCCCCCCCCCCCCCTCAATTTACCATATTTACCGTCTTCTCATAATTTCCTTCCATTCGTTTCTTTCCTCCCTCCAGGGGTGACTATCAATGGCGCCAAAGTGACCGAAGCTGACGTCGCTACCTCTAATGGAGTCATCCATGTCATCGACAAAGTGATCACCTCGTCATCGCCTTAGACCATGCCACCCTCTCCCACCCCAATCCCCCTGTTTTCTCCAAACAGAGTCAGGAATACGAACTGGGGGTCCAGCAATAAAATATTTTACTGATCTTGATCTTGATCTTGGGTGTAGTCCTTTGCGTGAGTGGTCAGCATGCTAACTGTAGTGATTTGCTGCTTCTTATCTATCAATTATTAATTATTGCCCTTATTAGAATCTCTCCTGCTTTTCTGTGCACGTTACTCTTGTAAACCTCTAGAAATGGGCACTTATATGAACTATCTGATTTGCGAACGCTGTAGAACTCTATCTAAACCGAAAACTAGTCCTTTGTAACTTGTAACTATAACGGAAATGGTCTAAAAGTAGACTTTAGCCCATCCTTCGGAACTTACATGACCTACGTCGCAGATCCAGGGTCGCCACGTTTCCTGTTGTCCAATCTGGGTCACCGTGACGTTTTGTTTGTTTTTTTAGAAAGGTTTTACGGCGCTCGCAACTGCATAAGGTCATAATATGAGCGCCAGTCGCCTTGGCGTCATGCGTCAAAGATGCTTTCAACTTTATCTTTAGAATTTGGGGTCAAAATTTACTTTTACCGAAATAGGTGGCTGTGTTGTTCTTGCCAAGACCTATAGTTGTCCAGACAGGACAGTAGCTTCTGTAGACATAGTTTGCTGAGATTAGGCCTCGGGGGAATCCCGAAACGGTGCCAAACCTGGAAAAGGATGGATGGAGGGTGGGGGGGGCAATTTAGTAGAGCCGCTGGTGGCAGACAGGAAAGCAGGACGTATTGTGCCGTTTTAATCACATTAGTGCTTGTCAACCGTTTTAAGTCAGGGCCCACTTTTGAGACATTCAAGAGTCTAAAATGTTCGTACTGCCCACCTACAGATACGAAGCATGTCATGGAAAACATCTGTCACAACGTGGTTAGTCACCCCAACAAAATTACCAAATTGCGTACTTGTGGCATATGCTGCCCAGGTAGGTAAAGCACCTACTTACGTTGTTAATATCATCCATCGTGGTGGTTTTATTAGTATGTACTCTCTCTTTCTCTCTCTCTCTCTCTCTCTCTCTCTCTCTCTCTCTCTCTCTCTCTCTCTCTCTCTCTCTCTCTCTCTCTCTCTCTCTCGCAGAAAGACAGAAGAAGAAGAAGAAGAAGAAGAAGAAGAAGAAGAAGAAGAAGAAGAAGAAGAAGAAGAAGAAGAAGAAGAAGAAGAAGAAGAAGAAGAAGAAGAAGAAGAAGAAGAAGAAGAAGAAGAAGAAGAAGAAGAAGAAGAAGAAGAAGAAGAAGAAGAAGAAGAAGAAGAAGAAGAAGAAGAAGAAGAAGAAGAACAACAACAACAACAACAACAACAACAACAACAACAACAACAACAACAACAACAACAACAAGGGATAATAATATAAAGATTAAGAGAGTTTGTATTAATTCATTTGTTACTACTTCATAGGTTATAACACTGGCCTACCGTATGTGGTGTAGCCGCTAGGCACCCACCGTCACGTACAGATGACGTGAGTTCGATACCTGTATTGGGAGGTTTTCTATATCATCGAGTACTACCGTCGGTCTACTGGGATGTTTACCCCTCTCGGCCCGGGGTGACCCTGGTAAGCATGATTGAAGCAGCCCGCCTCCTACATGATCTGACATTTCTTTTAGGTTCTACATTTCTATTATTCTGATTGAGACTGTTTGTAGATGTCTTACGTCCCTGTCGACTCAATTAAAATATATAAAATAGAAGTATATAATATATTGATTTACGAGTATATTGATAACGAGTATATTCAAAGACGGTGCTTTGGTTGTGGGAAGGTCGTCATGGGCAAAGTACATGTACAGCCCACGGGCCAGAACCGGCCCGCGAGAAATTTCAGTCAGGCCTGCGAGACGACTCAGTTTTTAATTATCATAATGAAAGTCGCTTGTGGTGAGTTAGTACTTTTTTTTTTTAATTGTCAGTCTCGAAAAATATAGAATTAATAATATTGGTGTACAACTGGAAGCAATAGATCTAATATCTTATCTCATGAAATGTCATTGGGGGACACAATTGTGCTATACTGTAAAGTAGTCTCACTTGTAGGACCTTGGATTTTCCCGCCAATTTTCTCCACCTTTGGCCTAGGAGATAATTAATCAGAATCACTTTACCCAGCCTGCGACGTGAACACACTTGCCCATGTCTGGTTTGGTAGCCTACATTATTATCACCGGACTTAGATTTTGAGTTGAGCAAAATAATTATAAGATTTCTGTATTACTCTGGAACCCCCCCCCCCCCCCCCCTCCCCCCCGACCAGAGGCGTCGCGTGGGTTGCAGACAGGGTGGTGCATAATTGGGAAGTGAGCTAATGGGCAAGAGGCTTACTAGCTACTATTAAAATTGTAATGAGCGGTTGGCGGGCGCTCTGATGTGGTCTGTCCTTCCTGTTGCTTTCTAAGAGTCTGTGTGTGCTTGTGTGTGTGAGTGAGAGAGAGAGAGAGAGAGAGAGAGAGAGAGAGAGATGTCTGTCGACACATCTATGTCGACACATCTAGAGAACATTTTCGATACTAGAGAGGGGCGGGCAGAGAGGGGCGGGCCATTCTTCATTGAGTTACCGACAGACTCTAGTGTAGTGGTCGATTGGCTAGCGGAAACTTGGATCAAATTTTTTTCTTTCACCAAATTGGTGCTGCGAAGAGGAGTTTCATACACCTTTCTTCTTGTGTGGGAAGAACGACGCCTAGATTTCACTACAGTGACAAAATTACTTTGGTGCAAAGATTTTGCTTGCTCCCTGTAGACACTACCGCAAGCGGTGCCACGAGCATAAACCATCCTCGGTGTCTGTCTCTTCACTGGCGCAGCCTGCGGGTGACGGATCGCAAGGATGCACGACATGTAGTAATGTAGACCTAGAGCACTGACTGGTTTAGAACTATTAGAAAAGGGGGGGGGTGTGTGAAGGCCAGGGTTAGGTGGAGCGCTTGCACCAATTGAACTAATGGCGCCCCGCCACTGCCCCCAACCTGAGAATGTCCATGAACGCCCAGTTCCTGCAGAGACGTGCACGGCATGGGTGGCACTCAACAGCCTCGCCACTATTGGCCCACTCTTCAGTTTGAAGAGGACAGCCTTCGTAGGTCATGATGAAAATAACCTTGGGAATTTATTGAATGCTTGATACAAGTTTTGTACATACATAAGATCGATTGTTTACATCTTCATTTCTTTGTTTTTGTTTGTTTGTTTGCTTGTTTGTTTGCTTGTTTGTTTGCTTGTTTGTTTGCTTGTTTGTTTATTTGTTTGTTTATTTGTTTGTTTGTTGTTTTTAGTGCTTTAAACAAACACACACAACCATTTCACATGTCTTATTCAATTTATTTCAAACTTAAATACACTTTGTCCGTAGAGTTAAACTTTTTAGATACCAGAATTATGAATTAACTTATAAAATTATTTGAATAATTTGAAATATTTTACTCCCCATAATATCAAATTTATATGCGCATAAAAAGCGAAGATAGGCTAAGACTATCGTAAGCGCATGACACGGTTAAAGGGAAATAAGCCGTGCTATTTCATTGAGGGACAAGAATTTAATGGATGAGTCCCCTTTACCATTATCCATCTGCCATGAAAATTAATTTTCTTTCCAGGTACCTTCATTAATTTGCTCAACAGTTCGTACGGCGAGGGAAAGATTTTTGTCTCTTGACTTTGAGTGTAAGCACGACAAAACAGGTATCTCCAAATTGTGTCTGTCTGCCAAAAACTGTCCTTCTCCATCTCACTCCCTTCTCTCCCCTTTCTCTCTTCCACCTCTCTCTCTCTCTCTCTCTCTCTCTCTCTCTCTCTCTCTCTCTCTCTCTCTATCCATCTATCTATCTATCTATCTATCTATCTATCTATCTCTATCTCTATCTCTCCATCTCTCAGTACAAAACTGCTTTTAAAACTGCCGAAACAGGTAGTTTTAAAAAAAGAGTTTATTTGTAGTCCCAATTACACAGACACCGATATAGAAAGAATATGCTCAACACTGAAAGTGTAACGACTGACAGAGTATCAAACAATAGAAGGACTTACCGGGGAAATCTGAATGACTAGGAAATACTACTGATTCTAGATCTAAGTTACAGAGATCATAATTAATAAGCGTGTCAAAAGTCTAGTTAGTACAACGTTGCTTTTATAACGACAGAAACAGGTTGTAAAATAAAATAATAATAATAATAATAGATAGCATTTGTATAGCGCAAATCCCCGCTCAACAGCAGGCTCTATGCGCTTTACACTATATTATTACCCCAGCAGACCACAGAACACTCCGAAACATTCTCAGTTTCCCGGGAAGCATACAGTGCAAGCAGCTGATTAAGCGCTCAAACACTAACATATTGACAAGATCTTTCGCTGTCTATAGCCGGGTACCCATTCCCACCTGGGTGAAGTGAGGAAAATTCGTGTAAAGTGCCTTTCCCAAGGACACATGTCGGGTCCCTGACGGGATTCGAACCCACGACCTTACGGTTGCGAGTCCGAGAGCCTAACCACTAGGCCACCGACGCCACAATGGTTTGTTTGTTATCCCAACTACACATTCACAAAAACAAGAAGAATGTACTCAACACTAAGAATGTAATTTAATATAACCTTGTCTAGAATGTATTCAGCGTAAAGTTGCCTTTAGAGTTGCACAACTAGGTTCTTTAAAAAATGATTTGTTTACTGTTCCAGTTACACCTAATATTGTTTTAAAACCTGGTCCGGTAGTTTTGAAAGCAACGCTGTACTGACTAGACTCTTTAAAAAATATTTGTAATCTACGTAAGCTGGAAACAGTCTTTTTTATTTATTCGATCAAATTTCGTTCGTAAATCGTCACGTTGATCATTACAAAGTCGGTGGTTACTTTCTCAGTCTTGAGCATAAATATTTTTATTTTCGTGTAAGTGTGATTGGAACAACCAAAAAAAACTCGGCTTTTTATATCCTGGTCTGCAGTTTTAAAACCAACTTTGCACTGAATAGACTCTAGACATGCTGAATTGTTATCTACAAAGCTAGAAACAGTTTTATTTCTTTATTATCCGAATTTGTTCCGTTAGTGGT